CGCACATACTCAGACACAGACACAGACTCGGACACACACACACACACACAGAGAGACACAGACACACACACACACGCACGCACGCACGCACACACGCGAGTCCCCCACCTGACCAGAAGAGCTCTCCACTCTTGGTCTTTGCGCCTGCGGGGAAAGTGGCGATGAGGTCCAGAATGACGTCGCGGGAAAACGCGTGGAAGTCGCGCCACGCCAGCGACACACACGTCTCCATCGTCGGCTTCTCTTGCAGCTGAGAGACAACACACATGCAAGTGGCGGTGGTGTCACGATGGTGAGAATCCTCATAAGCACGAAAGGGCGTGTCATCACATCCACCACACATCCATCACACAACTACCACACGCTGCCACCTTCAACAACAACAACAACACCAGCACCTGTGCGGCGAGGTCCTTGATGGCCTTGAGCGTGTCCACGCCGCGTTCGAGGGCGCCAATCCGCTCGTGCTGCTCAATCTTCGTCTCCAGCCCCGAGATGAAGCCCTCAGGGTCCTCCAGGAACTGCTGCAGCTGCGACGCCGGGCTCACAAACAGGTCCGTGAACTTGGCCCGCGCCCCACTCGATGCAGTGGTCAATGAGGTGTGGGAAGTTGTGCAGCGTGCACATGGGAATGCCGCCACCTGAGAACAGGAAAAGAAGAGGGCGAAAAAAGATGTTGAGTGGCGGGTGAGACGATGGGGCTGGATAGGATGCAAACGATCATGTAAGCTACTCAAATGCACACACGCACGTGTACACAGCACACATACCTGCTTCTGCGTCGCCGCCGTCGCTGTATGAGTTGATGGTGTGCAGCACAATGTCGTCGACGTTGGCGCCCGTGCCCATGGTCTCACTCTCCAGCAGTGGCTTCTTGTACAACACACACACTTGCTGTCAACAGGTTGTGTGTGTGTGTGTGTGTGTGTGTGTGTGTGATTGTATGTCGGGGGTTCGTGTGTATGGAACAAGATAGTAGGTGAGTGTGCATACAGTCGAGTTGAAATCTCACACACACA